GGTGTCGTGGTTTCTTTTAGCGCCTTGCTAGCAGCAGGCTAACGGGTAAAATGTAATGGTACATTTAAGCAACGAGAAAATAGTGTGCCATTTTTATGTTATTGTAGGCTGCGTTTAGTCATACTGTCTATGATAAGCCGAAAAGCCTCGTAGAAATACACGAGTTCGCTGAACGTGCATTTAGCTTGTCGGCGTGAAAGCCGGTTAGCTCAAACCGGGTCACAACGGAGGTTCAGTAATAAACAAGTTTCAGCTTAGATAAATTTCTGATTCTTCGAAAATTCAAGGTAATCGCAGTGCCACAAGGGAACAGCACAATGATGACGCTAGTCAAATTTTAAGACGGAAATCACGTTATCGGATAAAGCGGGAGTCTAACGTTAGTTTTCAACGTGTTAGAGGCCTCGCATGGTGATTTATGATACCAGCTATACAATTACTCGAGGCTACACTCACCTTGAGGTTATTTTCAACCCCTTTATTGAAAACGAGTAATTATTCTGGAAGACTGTGGGCGATGAATGCAGCCTACGCTGCACGCATTCAACATGAGTCGACTGATTAGGCAAAAGAGCCTCTGAACTTGCAAGATTGTTAATGGATGTATGTGAAACATAGACACATCATAGATGTTCAATGATTCGTAAAAAGTACAACAAGGATGTGTGACCGTAACCTCTTGGTCTCATTACTATATTTTCAATGCAGCTGTTGTCGATTGCGCACTGAAGTGTGAGATAGTAGAAAACTAATTTGGTTCTGGTCGCATGTGGTTGTTCAGGACGAAGTCTTAGTAGTATCGTTTCTTGGCATATACGACACTGTTTAGAATTGCTTCTTCTGTTTCTGCCGTCTTTGTTTTTATAGAAAAACAAACAAGTTCCTTTCCGCGCTTCGATGATCAAGTTGTCATGTTAAAGATGATCAATGGTAACACAGGTGACACGAACAATTAGTTACCTGCGCCGGTCTTGCATCTACTTCTATCTCGTACGTATTGAGCAGTACCGCGTCGAATTCAAACAAACTGATTGGCTCACTGAATACGTCCATATTCCAGTTGAATGCTACCATTGTGTTGTCAAATATGGAAACATCTGCGTACAGCGCATCGTATGTGTACATGGTGTGTACATAAAATGTTCATCTATGGGTATAATAGTGTTTGAATTACAATCCAAAGTTATTTTCATCATTATTACTGTGTTCAACAAGCCGATCTTTTATGTGTTCCACGTCACGATGCTGCCGTCGCCGTGTACAATGTTTCTATTAGGTCTTCGTATATGAAGTTTCATGAGACGCTTGAAGTATTCTGATTCAGCGGTGAAATTTTACCACTGTTCGATGCGAATTTACAACGTTAAGGTGGAACAGTAGAGCTACTTCACTTACCATTGGCTGACCGACCATGATCATCGACAGGTAGTTAACCACCGCGAGTTCAAGATCCTACATGTCGCATCAGAGCTGGATACGGAATAATGCGGCCATCAATAAATAATCAAACTGAACGAGGAAGTTTGTAGATGTCACCGTTGACGGCGTCACCGCTGTGAGCCATCGTGCAGTATTTCGGTTCTTTCGTCAGCAGAAAAGAACACACTCAGTTTATCCATCTATCTTGCTTATTCGGCCAAAAAAGCAAACAGGACAAACCGAAGCAGTACACGTGCGCAAGGCCGAACGTCAGTGGCTGTGGCCAACAAACGTATGTACACAATCGGAATTGGAGAAACTCTATGTAGGTGCACAAAGCGAAGTGCAACAAAAGGCGATAACGCTTTCAATTTAATTATTTTAAAACTAGACGAGGATGTGTAAGAAGGCCGTGGGTTATTTCTTGCCCAGTCTAATGACGCTCTCTCTGCTTCTTTGTTTTGACTACAGTATAGTGCTCAGGTATCCTGATGCATCATTAACTTCGTCCTCTTAGCACTACACCGTCTGATATTCGCGCGGTGCGCGACTCGAGTGAGCAGCATAATTAGCTAAGCAGATTGACACTCGCCTGACCCCCAGTCGACTGTGCCCCTATAACAGCTACGTAGTAACCTGTGTTGCCTGATGCTGGACACTGTTACAGTGTGTACTTAGCACATGCTAAATCTTTACATCAGTAATGCCAAACTAGGTGATTCAGCATTTTTTACTTTGCGTAGAGCATTGTCCTTAGCATATCAGGCGAAGCCCCGATTCCCTAAGTCCTTAGTTGTAGTTGACGCTGTCGACAAGTGCCAATAAACGCTTCATTAATATGGGAACATTAGCGGCTACTTATGTCCTCTACTAATAACTTCAGACATGACGGCATCAGCAGATTATAGTCATCGTTGCGACAATCGGGTTTGCACCTGCCCGCACGAGAAGACTGAGACAGAAGAAAGGAAAAACATAGCGGTACCAGCAGCAAATACGATTTGATGCATCATCTTTTTGCCGTCCTCTATGGTGACGACGGAAAATGTACGACAAAGGTCGCATGATTTTCGCCGTTAGATTAATTGAAAGCGAACGTCGGGCCGATTCGATGCTAGACGCCTGATAATGCGACCACTGTTGATCCGTGCCATTGCCACTGTTAGGCCGTCAATGAAGCGGGGAAAATGATGAACTTCTTTCAGCTTTGTCAATAAATCTTACTTTTTGCCTCCTTCCCGTGTGTTGCATTGCATTGCCTTGCCTGGATTGGCCTGGCGTCACCTTGAACTTCCTCCCGATCCTTTTCATCGTATAACAGTTCTTACAACAACGGCACACGTGAGCAGCCGAGCGTGCTTGGCAGGCCAATTGGACAAATGAGCGAACCAATGACGGCGGATGCCGGTTGAAGCTTCTTATTTTTTTTATAGATCTCACACCATATCGACATGCAGCCACAGCAGTAGTTGTGCAGAAATCCACATGTCTTTTTGCTACCGGTGGTCCATACTACAAACATTATTGTTACCACTAGAAATGTCTCAACGCATATCGGATATGTGTGATGCGACTTACGTGGCAATACAGTTCAACACGCGTCGGGTGGCTTGGCTGTGTGCGATGTCATCGATGCCCTCCTCTCAATTCTGTCGTCTGTTTTGGTGCCCCTTCGTGCTCTTTGTCGAGCGAGGCGAAACGAAAGCAAACGGCATGGGAAGAGCAGAAGAAGAGCGCTGCTGAAGTGGCAAATGAAAAGAACGTAGCACTTTATCATTTGATGACGATGACGACAAATGTGAGTCGAAGGCCGTATGATCTTCATCGTTGAAGTAATTGAAACAACGTTGGTTCGAGCCGATACTAGACCTCCGGTAATGTAGCTACTAGCAATCTTTTGCGTTGTCGCTAAATTGCTGGACAACGATTTACAAAAAATGGCTGCAGGTAATCAACGATTTCGTTACGCTGCTGTGTGTACGGATGCACATTTACCATCATCACTCATAAAACTGTGCCGGCAACGTAGCAATTTACATTCAAAGTCCTATTAAAGTTTAGGGTTCTGTTTGGACCCTGTTCTACTCGGTAATATTTTGTTCTTTTCGTTTGTGTTCTATGCTTTCCATCTTGAATATAGTGCATTTCGAAAGAAAATAACTACTAATATCGATGAATAGTTAAATTTTTATCTCATCCGTAAGCTGATCGACGTGACCATGAAGAAAGTCTGAAGATTCATTGATAGCAATGTTTCGATGTTTAACGAGCGTGTCTCTATTAGGGGTATATGTGTAAGCAATAACTTATATAGTGTAGAGGCTCACTTATTTCTGTCAATCTACCAGGTCTACATGTTTAGCCTCCGTAACGAAGTATGTGAAACCGGAATTGGATTACTAATTATAATCCAAAATGCTCATATATGATTCGAATAGTTGCTTGGGGTAAACGGTTCAACATGAACCGCTTCGATAAATGAAGAACTTCCCCATTAGACTATGGGGTATCATTGATTGTATGTCTATCCTACTTAGAGCTTTGCTTTTATTAGGTTATGCATTTGGTTCAATAACCAAGATGACGACGCCACGGCTCCAGTATATTCATGTCTACTATCAGTAAAAGCGCATGCGCATGAACGAGTAGGTGGCTGCTTATGGAACGAAAACCCGACATGTTTCTGACAGGGACGATGCCTGCACTAGAATAAGGAAGGACCTTTAAGCGGCCTATTTCACTTGAGTCTGTTTAATGAACATAAGGCACACCGTAGCGTAGCGACATTGAACAACAGTTCATGACAAAGCCAATAAATCATCGACAATTGCGATGTATTTCTTAGCTTAGTGCATGCAAAGGCTTTCCGTGATGATGCTAGTACCTGAACAAGGTGCGACCGTAGACGTTTCGAACGGAATGCAGTAACTGTACTAACTTAAGAAGACAACTTACTCGTGTGTTTTGTTCGATGATTAGTTCTCAGAGGTATCTGACGATGAGGGATTTCACTCTGATTTTGATTGGCAAGCAAGCTTTATCGCCCGAAAGCAAATTGATTGCTAATCGTGCCATTATAATTTAATTTAGTTCTATATAGTAGTGTTATTTTTCTGAATATAGATTTATGTGGGCTTGTTCTTTGATGTGTCGCACAACTTTGCATGTTCATCACCAGGTTTTACGATGTACTACTTCTTACAGCTGTATAGTATTTGCCTTATTAACACACTCGGGACACTACTATACGGTTTTATTTAAATAGGTACATTATTAAAGTATAGGCATTATCTACTTTAAACTGCTGATAGGTTTCCTGACAGTGATCGTATCGCCGGTGGGCACTGTAATACCAACGTCTGAGACAGCCGTATAACTTCCGACGAGTATAGTAAACAAACCAAATAATTAAACACTCTTTATGGGCTGTATAAAAAATCCAATTATTATTTTATGAATGAACGGAAGTTTCCAATTTCAAATATCTTCATTAGCGCTATTCGATTTTAGTTAGATCTTGTGAAGCTTTATATTTGATTGGGAATGACTAACCGGGCTGATATTTCGTGTCTCAATTACAGGGTGACCTCGCGAAGAAAAAAATCTATCCAACTTTATGGTGAGTATCTGATGTACATTACCGGTAAATCGTATTCAATTGTATGGATCGCTCTATTCTGAGCTGTATGTGCACAGTGCTGATTGAGTTGGTTATATATATATATATGTATATAATATATATATGTAAAGGATGTATGCCGAGAATGCTAGCTAAAGAGGTCACTGACGACACAATTACAATTCTTAATGAAATTTTCCGCGCGAAACAAGTCGGTCTTATTTCGCTGGAGAAAATGGTCACTTTACCAATGTTGCGAACTCCGACAGGATGATATAAAACAAGGACTGAATCAGAATTCGTTTCTTCATTTATCGCTTGAGTCTCTTCCAAGTTGACACATTAATAACTGGTTCAGGTGATATTTAATCGTCGTTCGTGTATCTAATTGCAGAATTCGTGGCTTAAGGGGGCGATTATGTTCCAGGTTTGTCTCACAGGTAGTGTTGTGATGTGTTACTTGGGGTTTCTTCTCTGTCAAGTATGGGGCTTTTTCTAAAAAAAAAAATAATAATAAAAAAAAAAACAATTTATGGGCTTAATTTCTGCCTGCGCGTCATTCCAAACAGAATTACGTACGTCTACGTATCTAGTCAAGGTCATGTGCGCCATTCCGTTGGCGCGTGCCTGTACTTCAACGTATGGCCGTGTATGTGTGTGTGTGTGTGTCACACTTAACAAATATCATACCTGGGGCCATAGCTCGTGGTGAGCGCCGATGCTATCAGTTACCGACCACTTCTGCCGCTGCTGCTGCTGCCGGTGCTTTTACGGCCGGACAGCGTGTAGTCTGAGTAGTCATGTTGTTCCCGTTCGTTGATGTTGTCTGTCATCAAGGCCTGCTCTGGCCTCAGTCGAACGGAACTGAACTGTACGCCGTCAAGGTGTCACTAACGGCATGGTATTGCGATGTCGCTGCGTAATATGGGATAATGTCTTGATAATTTCAATGTCAAGTAACCTCTTGTCATCGCTGTCGATTACGGCGCTGCTACAAGCATTACTGCCAACAGCAACGGCCGCCATCATCCCGGTGATGTCGATCGCGATCTCCTGCCAATAGATCTTCGCCAATGTAAAGACGTAATCGTTGTTGGAGCCTGCAGATTTATTATTATTATAGCATTGCGTTACGATAGAGACAGTCAGGGGGAGATGCTGCTGTTCAGCCGCAGTCACAGACATGGTCGTTGTCACGCCTAATGGTGGTAACGGAAGTTTCGGGAATATGGCTTGGACAGAGTGCGGTAAGCAGGACTATTATATAATTATTATTGAGAAAGAGCTGCAGTCATGGTAGCGTGTCAAGCGGTGTGTTTAAAGATATCTTAGTTGGCGTGGTAACGAGGTGGATTGAATGGAGGTCACCATCTAGACCCTTCCCCGCCACTCTGTCCTGCTCACTTGACGTTTCTTGCAGATGGTTCTTGCAGACGATGATTCAATTGTAGCGCTCACAACAGCGGAATCGTCTGAATGATTGATTCATAGTGTTATTAGCTCTGGCTTTGGCTCGAGTATCCGATGTTAGTTGTGGCAGTGGGCTCCTGGTCACCGATGGTCCTGTGCCTTTCGTCCACTTAGGGCCCATTACGCTGGAATCTGTCATAAGTGTTCGGTGGAAAATGGGCTTCACCGTTATTTCTAAGCTCTCCTATGACGACAATGATAACAGCTTATGGCGATGAAAGCGTGGATCGTTTGTATATTGTAGTCTGTTGGTTAGCCAAAACGAATGTGACGCAAACTGAAAATGATAAAAACTTGTCAAGACATGGAAAGCATGGCCGAGAAAGCCGAGAATTAGGTTACATTTTAACGCTCTTCTGTTGAAGTTTGTAAAAAATTAACGTATAAAAAAATCAACATAGTATAGGTTTGCTGACATGATAAGGTATAGATAGAAAAACTACATGCGTATATTTATCAATTTAACATACTTTGACTCGTAAATAGTTGCTGATCGTTGTTTAACTGATTGACTTACTTATCGCTTCATTCAACCTTTCGTATCTACTAAACATTTAAATAGAGGCGTTCATTCGAAGTTGCCGTAAGGATTGTTTCGCGCAATTTACGCACGGTCATCTATACATGGAAATTTATTATAATCATTATTACGAAGATATCCGGGTGTAGCATTGCGTCGTCTTGTCGAGCGGGTCTAGGCTAAAATGTTTTAGTGAAATATAATGGCATTGTTTTAGAATTTCCGGTCACTGCGGAGATATCGTAATTCTCTTTGTCAGATTCGCGCTGCAGCTGAAACAGCACTAACAGTGAGAGAAGGTTACATTGAGCGAAAAATAGCCAAGTTTATAACGCTATATATATATATACACATAAATCAGATCATGCTTTTTTAGAGTTTGTGGGGACAGTATCAGCAATCGCTGTTTTGTAGTCCTTGTTGGAATCCGTACCGATTATCTGGGTGTACTCAAAATCCTCGGTGTTGTAAGACTGATTTCACAAAGTGAAAATGAGTGACTCAGATGGTCTAAGTAAAAGACTAACGAGCCGGCACCGATATTAGTAGACAACGAAAAGATTCCCGACAAGATACCCAAAGCGTGTCTATGGCACACATCGCATTGTTCCCATTGTCGTTGCCGCCGCCGCCGATTACTTCAGTGACGGCGGCCCTCACAATGCTTCGAAATCACACAGAGAGCTAAAACAATAACTATGTCGAACAAAATGTTTGATTTTATCGATTAACTCAATGTCACCTTGAATTTGACAGCCGTTTGAGCGAGACTATGAAAGAGAGTGACAGAGAAATCCGAACCGACTGAAACGAAAACAAGGAAATCATCTTATTTCAAAAATGTTTCTATTTGATAATAGTAAAACACTTTGTTGCGAAGCCTTGCACACCTGCACATAATTGCACAGTCACTGTAAAGCCCTTGCGAGAACAAATAAAGGTACATATTTAGCGATTTCCTTCTATTTATCATTTTTATTTATATTCATATGAGGTTAGGTGTTAAAAATAACTCGATTCCAAGTTTTTGCTATAGTTTCAAATAGGCTCGAACTGCGATGATGAAAATGTTTGTAAACGTAAAAGTGGACGAAATCTAAAGATAATTCATAGTAAATGGAACCAATAAAAAAGTTTATGAGAATCGCAAGCCAGACAGAAAAAAAAGGGACGTCAGGTGCGAGCGATAGAAATTTTTGATGATTTTATGAGGTTTTTTTTATGATAAGTTCCTCAACAACTGATTGTCTCGGTCCCTTAATGTTTCATTCGCAGTTAACGTTTTTCAGTTACAAAGATGCTATGCATCGAAAACAGCTTCACGAACTGGTGCAACAGGACAAACACAAGTGAAGAAGAATACAAGTGAAAAAGCAAATGGTCAATAGTTTATTACGGTTATGTTGATAGTGATTCTAGTGTAAAAAATGGCTAATTTTCGGATGACTGTGATAACTTGACTCAAAGAGCGCTACGCATACGGGAAAAGGGGGTAGATTAAACAATAGCCTCAAATAAATCCTTAAACCACACTCACTAAGTAGTATATCAAGGAAAACTGAGTGGAGATGCCAGGAAAAGTTGAAAAGAAATATTCTTGAATTTCGTGTTTGTTTACAAATACCACGAGACTAATCTCATTAGTTATAGGTAAAGAGAGTACGAAGGATCTGTCGTGAAATGTTGATCAACAATAGCAGACGATTACTGTGTGTTGATATAGGTAACCACAATGAAAAACTGCGCGGAAGTACTTCAAACGGTTTGCAATTTGGGTTGTTAAACAAAAACCGGTTTCATTTGTTTAGCTACGTTAAAATCAATATGATACTATCCCCAAGTATTGTATCTAGCTCCAAAATACGATGGTATAGGAAATAGCTTTCGGTGGGCGTAGAGCATTTTACATTTTTTTTTCCATTCTATTAGCAGATCCAACTCCGGAGTATCTAACGTAATTTTTTTCCTTTATTTACTCGACGTTATGTTGAACGTTCTATTAAGTCTACAGTAAATTAAATGCAAGTACTTCGAATTACGCGAATACCTTCGGCTTTATAAATTTACAAAAAAATTTGTCGTCATATTAAGCTCATGTGTGTTCAAGCTACCTTCACAGAAACGGTACAAGGAAATACTTTCAGAGTGAGCCCAGTAACAATCTTTCTCGTTTCGAAATTATTGTAGCTGCTGAGTCAAGCCTTTATCAAGCAAATTAAATGTGGTATCATTTCGAAACTACAATTAAATGGGCCAAATTTGAGCCCGGTTTTTTCAACGAGTTGTTGTACCCGTCTTGAAGGGACTGCGTCACTGATTTTTCTCTCAGTGATTATCTCTTACGATTCATCTGTAGAAGAGCAATGTATGTACAGCGAAGACATGTGAACGGCCGATAAAAGGGATACACCGCAAAGGTTCTAGCGTAGCGATTACCAGCGGCAATTTATACTGGGAAATTAAGAAAATTTATCCGCTTTTCAACTCTCCTTCGGACCCCCCCCCCCCCGCCCTTTTTCGACCGCTGCTTCTACGCCGGACGCCAACTATCGCTTTGACGGGAGGCACGTGAATCGAAAGAAGACGATAATATTAAGAATGCGAATTGTTGCACTGTAGATTTATATGTGACGACAAAGGCTCGTTTACCGCGACTAACAATCACTGGGAAAATCGTATTTCGACAATAAGAGATCGATTTGCAACTATATGCTAAGTTTACTAAGGTAATGAGAGTAGTATCAAGCCGATGAATTTATCGAGAATTCCCTAATGCAATGATCGGGGTCTGCGTTAAGAGATATGCAAAAGATGCTTTAATTCACACAATATGGATGGGTTTTTGGTGTCCCTGTATCGGAACGACGGCGCCCTAACGAGAAGGCCAATAATTATGCCTCTTCTGGTTGATCTTCTACAACTAATTTGTATATTATTATTGTACACGGTTTATCGCTGTTCATGTCAACGGGATCAGGTTCATAGCGCATAGCGGCATGCATCTCTATAT